TCTAGTTTAACTATGTTTGAAAACTATAAAATGTCCAAATATGTTAATTTTGTACAGTATATTTATTGTTTCATGCACAATGTAAAACTTGTTCATTTTCTTTAAATAAATGCAACATAAAATATTTTGTTTGGAAAATAAAAAATCAATTTAGTTCAACTATGTTTGAGAACCATAATATCCAAATCCAAGTCTATTTTCTTCATTTTGATCCGTATATTTACTGTTTACTTATAAAAACTCTTCTCTTATCAGGGCCAGCCCTGGCCAATTTGCTGCCCTAGGCAAGATTTTACCTGGTGCCCCTTGCCTCACATTAACATATATAACTAACTTGAACTAACAATGAACAATACATTTGTAACAGTATTTTGTTTTTGTTGTTAGTGTTAGTTATTGACAATTAACCTTATTTTAAATGGTTTCCAGTGAAACTATAAAAATATAGGTGCTGCCTAAGTCACTTTATAAATTAAACACAATTAAACATCAAGAATAATTACATCTAGTATTCCTCCACCATTCGCTGTAGATGGCAGCAATGTTCTACTAACCCATTCTAATGTTATCACCATGAATTGAACTGAGAAACGTACATCTTTAAAGTGAATTTTACATTCATTTTACTAGTTTAATAAGCCGTCATATACAAATATTATTAAATTAGCCAATTTAAATTAAAAATACCATAAATCCCCAAATACTACACAACTATAGCGTAAAAATATAAAAACGTGTTGCCATGTTACACGAAAAATGACACTTATGTTACAAAATCTCAGATCTCTGGAACTGCAGACATTGTTATTACCCTATTTTAAACTTTTAGACTATAGGCTTTCTAGACTAGGCCAACATAAAGTTTGTTCACAAACTTTGACCTCATCTAGAGCCCTTAAATGCATACCTCGTGTCTTTAGCGAACCGGGAGATCATTCACTTCCTTCTCCCTCCTTCATTTTTTTAAAGTTCAACATCAACTTTCTTAGTATTCCTCAATATATTCATTATAAACAATATAACAAGAAAAATGCTTGTTTTCTTCTTATTATTATTTGATTTTTTTTGTAAAATGTGTATAGGGTCGCTAGAGGCCCGATGTATGTAAATGTGTCCCAAATACTACACAACTATAGCGTAAAAATATTAAAACGTGTTGCCATGTTACACGAAAAATGACACTTATGTTACAAAATCTCGGATCTCTGGAACTGCAGACATTGTTATTACCCTATTTTAAACTTTTAGACTATAGGCTTTCTAGACTAGGCCAACATAAAGTTTGTTCACAAACTTTGACCTCATCTAGAGCCCTTAAATGCATACCTCGTGTCTTTAGCGAACCGGGAGATCATTCACTTCCTTCTCCCTCCTTCATTTTTTTAAAGTTCGACATCAACTTTCTTAGTATTCCTCAATATATTCATTATAAACAATATAACAAGAAAAATGCTTGTTTTCTTCTTATTATTATTTGATTTTTTTTGTAAAATGTGTATAGGGTCGCTAGAGGCCCGATGTATGTAAATGTGTGTAAGTGTATTTTTCCTGAGCAACTATACACATCTGATGACTCAACAAGTGCAATGCATCTTTATTCCTCGAGGTGGCACTGTTTGATACACAATGACGACGTGATGTTTCACTCATAATTACCGCAGGCATAAAACAAAATAATATCATCAGCAAAAATTTAACTGGTTTGAATGACTTTACTTCAGAGCAATTACTGTACGCAATGAAATATAAATGTCACTGTCATTTGATGGTGGATGTGATGAATATGCCAGTGATCAAAATATTGATTTTGAAGTCATTGAAAACGATAGTTTTGAGAATATGGCTGAGATCGCGAGTATGAGCCAGATGCGGACGCTTTTTTTTTTTTGGTAATATTTTTAATTTATAGTAGGAAGTAGTATTGGTAATAAAAAATAAATAGTTAAAAAAAAAAACTTCACTCAATTGGCGCCCCTAGCATTTGCCTATTCCGTCTAGGCTACGCCACGGGCCGGCCCTGTCTCTTATAATACTCTACTGGTCTCATTGTATAATTCAAATACTAAAAATATAAAATCTAGTAGTTAATACACTGAAAAATTTCAGGCCTATTTTTATATTACAGGAGTTTGAATCATGTAGCACTAGTGATTTTATTGACCCCCTGAAGGTCCTAAGGTGTGTTAGAGGACCGCATTCAATAACCTAACCAACAACAAGCAGGTGGTGCACTGCACATTAACGTCACTGCTGACTTCAGAAATGGCGTTCTGTATTCCTCCTGTCATTCTTAATATGGCTGTCCCATCATGCCACACCGTTCTGTGCAGGCTATTGCTGTGTCAGCTAGCTGACTGCATGGAAATCAGTGGCGATTAACTTTAGAAAGTCACTCATGTGACTAAATATCCTTCCGCAAAGTTATATCCTTCCACAACTTTTTTGTGCATCTTTTAAGATAATGTTGTTGTTGCTTTTTTAACATAATAGCGCATAAATGTTGGAATTCAAAATAAATAAATAAAAAAACGTTCTCCTCCTGAACCATTAAACTTCCCGTTGAAAGTTGAAAGTATCCAGAAATTCACTTACCACAACACAGAATTGCAATAATTCTGTACAATATAGCTGTTGTCCATCAGATATTGCTGAGAAATTGTTTGTGGTTCTATACTTTTTGGTGTAATTTCACGTTTTAACCTTCTTTTCAGCAAACATTTTTCTTTAAAACTATTGATCTATTAGTTTGATCAGTTTCATATCAGTTTTTAGTATATGTATCCTTCTTAATGAGTGAAATACAAAGAAATATTTTAAAACAACATTTGTTTGCAGTAAATAATCAGGAATGTAATATGTAAATGTAATATTACATTAACATTTGTTTAACAAATGATTTCAGGAAACTGTAAGAATGTATTTAGGTTCAAGTTCCTGCTAGTATAAGTAGTTGTGTGTGTGATGGCAAGGAAATATTTGCATGTTTCCAAGAAAGAAGAAAGAGAATAACCACAGGGAGGAAAAGAAATGAGGAATTGCCTGGGGTTGTGAATGTAACTGGTGTAGTTATAGTCAGCATATACAAATAAAATCTTATCAATCCTTTTTTAATTTAATTTATTTATTTTTTGCTGAGAATGCATCATATGATAGATCAAAAATGCCACACCATGATGTTCTCACACACTAAACTTTGTAGGCATATATTAAACAATAAGACAGCAGGAGTGCTTCAATTTATATGTACAAAGCAACCAAAGTGTCACATGATTGTTCTGTAATTTCATATTGCTTATCATAAACTTTCCCAGCATGCCTTGTCATGACTCAGCAGACTTTATGATCCAATGAAATAGCTGCATTTTTGTCAGTCCACAATTTTTGTTAAAAAAACTGTAAACCTGCTTTTATTATTTAAATGACTACATATCAAGCTCATAAACCTATTATGTAATGCTTGCTAAATGGCAGACAGCATCTGGAATGATTTTGGCTTCAGCCAATGGGCTGTTTTAAACGCACTCTGCCCTCCTCATTATCCAAACTTCATTGAAAGGAAAAGACCACCTCAGTACACAACACACAAATATAGCTCCACTTTAACAGTGTAAGATTCATAAGAATTAGACACCAATTCTCCAAATAGAATAGGCATTGTGCTTCACCAAATACAGTTACTGTACTGTCATTATTTAGGCTATCACATTTTTATTGATTTGAACATCACAGGTATATGACAAAAAAGTGTTACGTTTAAAATGTCTTTAAGTTTATGCTGAACCTCAACTGACTTGAACATAAAACGTCAGCTTTCATTATTGTTTATTTAGTCTCTTTTTCTTATCTCATCAAGGCACTAAACAAAAATTGTGCCGACTTCATGAATCTCCCAGTTACAATGAGGAAATCTGACACAAATTAAACCAGGACTGAATGTACTCTCCAAACCAGGCGATTTTCTGTCCTGATAATCGCCTCAAATTTTACTGACCATAAATAATATAAATAAATATACTTGTAAAAATACATAAACACATTCTCAAATAAAATAATAAGCCAGAAGAATGTTTGAATGTGATGTTTCACTTTTTAGTTTATACCAGGAATAGCAAAGTCATTGGATTTATTATGAAATAATAGGCCTTGGTTATGAAACAACAGCAGAACGAATTTCAGCATAAATAGGACACTGAAAACAATAATTTAATTCAAACCAAAATTATTATGTAACATCACTGAATCAACCTACATTAATTTATAACAACAAAACTAATTTTTGTGGTAAATCAGGACGAAATAGCTATTTATGGCAACAATTGCAGCTTACCTCTTTTTACACTGTACACAAAAAACATTTTTAATAAACATTAAATTGTCCATTTAATGAACAAATTCATTCTGCTCCTATATGAACGGCTGTGTGATAAATATCATAAATATAGTTAACTGACAGCGCCCTCTGCTGGTAACGTATGACTTTAACAGTTCATTAACTCACCTGGACTCATTATGAATGCATAATGAGATGCTCTCATACGCACGGAGTTCACTTTGTTAGTGATCTTTGGGACAGTGTTCACTACTATACTTTAATATAAAAACTACTGATCACTATTTATTACTACATTTGTTTTCAGGTAACAGGAGAGATGTTACCAATACTCTCCCTATTAGTCCCTGTTAGTATTTCTGCCTGTCTGGGTTTCTTTCATGTCCTCTTTCTTCAAAATCTCTCTCTCTCTCAAAGAGAAAGAGTCCCTAAGTGCAGTTTACCACTGTTGCAGTGTCACGTGTTAATTTTTCTTTCGTTTGTCTTGTTTTTACTTAATAGCTGGAATATAACTATTGTGCCACTTGAAGCGTTTGGTTTAGGGGCCTTTGTTTCTATTCCACTCTCTTTCTCCCGCTCTCCGTCTCTCTGCTGCTGCTCGTGGTTTGTTTACATCAGTTCAGTATCTCCGACGCAAGGGCTTCTGGGCCATGTGTCTGCCATAGTCGCGGTGCATTGTGGGGAGGTTGTGGTCCTCCAGCGGCTCGGTTCGGAATAATGTCTGCCTCGGAGGCAGCGGACGGTTCTTCCCCGGAATTGTGCCCGAGCTTCGCCGTGATCTGCTCGTTTCTGGAGCGGTATGGAGCTATGCTGGACCTGCCGGAGGTGTCGTTCCCGGAGCTGGAGCGCAGTCTGCAGGAGAGCAGCGCGGGTGAGCCGCCCCTCCATTGTTGCTCTTCAGCCGCATTACATGCGTTTAAACGGGCCGTTTGGTACTCCACCCGTGGGTGTCGGTGTTTTTGTCGCCGTTTGTGTCTCTAAAGCGCCGTTTCTGCCGTTAATATCGGCGTTTCGCCCGACGGAAGATTTTATTGCGCTTTATTTAACGTTACTCATCACAGCGCACAGAAACGCATTGCTGCTTTATTTGCGTTTATATGCGACCTTTTACGTATGGAAAATCACTTGTATTTGCATATAACGACACGCATATTGAGAGGAATGAAATAATCATGTTTATTCATAGTTAAATAATAATTTGGCATGAATTAGTGCGATGTGAGAAGCGCGCATGCGCAGAACGTGTAAACTTCCTGCTCGCGCCGCTGAGGGAGAAATGACAATATGAGATTATTTTGATTGTCAGACTTTGGTGAAAGGTAACAATAAGCCCTTTTATTTGTATCTCTGATGGTTTTGCTACATTATAAACGGGTTAGGTGTGTTTAAGTTGAACTGACGCACGATTTGTTGAGCAGTGTGCTATATCCATATATGCTATATATATATATATATATATATACAGACAACTAATTATAGCAACTATTTATAGGTCCAAAATGCCTCGGTTGTAGTACACTAAATTACAGTTTAGTACACTAAAACTGTAATACATTTATATATATAAAACATATATGTTTAGCATGTTTTGTTTATAGTATTAAACCCTAAAATTAAAATTGTCATTCTTTACTCAGCCACATGTTTTTCCAAATCTGTATGACTGTCTTTTCTCCATGCAGTTATTGAAAAAATGTTTGGATTTTTTGAACTGGCCCTTTAAATTACTACAGTTTTATTGAAGTAACAGAAAATGTAGTTGTAATGGTATTTTGGCTGAAACTATAACAGCTATGGTATGTATATAGTAGAGACAGATAGATTCTGCCAGTCATAAACATATTTATATGAATACTTCAATGAAACGTGTAGGGGACTATGGCAGGTACAAGAACAACAGCAATATTAAATGTCCAGGAAGGCGTTTATCACTGTGCAGTTACTTTAAATGCAAATCTAATGTTCATTAATGAATAAGTTACACACTAGTGGTTACAAACCATTACCAGTTTCTCAGGTTTTGGTGCCCTAAAGGAGTGGTTCTTAAATCCTGAAATGGCATTAGTATTACTTTTTTTATTTTGTAACTTTTTTTTTTTTTTTTTTTGCTGATGGATATAAATGATCCTACTGTGGCTACTTAAGAAGTTGGACCAAACACTTAAGAACACAGATGTGTTAGTTCTGTTGCTGAATGAACAGATACACAAATCAGACAGTTAAATATTTACAGTCACAACAGTTTGAGAACCGCAAACCTAAAAACTAATAAGATGTGTTATGGCTGTGTAAATTATAAGTATGCGTTACATGTTGCTTTAATATAGAAATACTTGTATGTCCTCAGTACCCAAACTCCTCGTGGATCTTCATGTGAAGTTACTGAGGAAAATTGGCAAGTCTGTGTCGGCAGACAGATGGGAGAAAAATCTCATGAAGGTGAGTAAATCAGTGTTAACAATGAATTAAATATTTTAACAATCACATTCAAACAGCTGTGAATTATGGACCATTTCATAATGAATATGTGAATAGCTGTGAGCACAATGAGCACTTGACAGTGTTAATTCAATATTAGTCTCATCAATGTTTAATTTTTGATTTCTTTATTACTCTGTAGATCTGTCAGGAGTTTAACACCACATGGGCATGGGAGCTGGAAAAGAAGGGTTATCGAGAGATGACAGTGGAGTGTAAGACAGGAATACTGAAGGTAAGATGGGAAAATCTGTCACACCACCGAATGAAGTTGCATTTGAGCCTCACATCCATCTGTAAAAACTGTTGTTGTATTTGTAATGTATTTCTGTTTTTATTAACCCAATGTAACTTTTCAGTGTTTTGTTTTTCAAACAGTACTTGTGTGAATGCCAGTTTGATGACAATGTCAAGTTTAAAACCGCTATCAATGAAGAAGACCCAGATAAAATGCGTCTTCAGCCAATCGGCAGAGACAAAGATGGCCTCATGTACTGGTTCCAGCTTGATCAAGACCATAATGTAAGGGTCTATGTGGAAGAACAGGATGATCTGGATGGGTCATCCTGGAAGTGTATAGTAAGGTAGGCATTCTGCGATCAATTCCAGTGGCATTAAAAACCACTTCTTCATAACATGGCATGCTACATAGTGTTTTCGCTGACTGTACTGGATGGCTTTTAATTTGTCAGAAAAACGTGCCAAATGACAGATACATTAAAAAAACAAAAATTTTCCATTTCAGAAATAGAGACAGCCTGGCTCAAATCCTTGGACTGTTGAAGACTCAGATTGATCCAGCACTTTTGGTAAAGAAGGATCAGGAGGAGGGCTCATCTAGTAACTGTCCGAACCCAGAGAATGAAGAAGACAAGAAAAAAGAAGGAGCTGAAGGTATCTAAAAATTAATATGAAGTATTGACTGAACACAGCTTGAGTTAGGATTGCTTTACTGATTTGTTTTATCTCTGTGTTTTTGGATTCCAGTGGAGATCAGAGATGAGAAGTCACAAAATGATTTATCTGCATCTGAAAATAAGGAAAACATCTTGGAGAAGGAAAATGCAAAGCAAGAAGATGCAGAGACCACAGATGCTTTGTCGGAAAAAGGCTTAAAGGTGAAGGAAGAGCTGCAGAAACATTCGGAGACGGCAAACGGCACTAATGGATCGATCAAAGAAGAGCCACAGGATGAGGATGAGAAAGTCAAGGACTTGTCAACACCTTCACAGAATGCAGAACAGACGGAGGATGTAAAAAGAAAATCTTTAGAAGAGACTCAAAGAGCTTTGAAAAATGACCATCAAGCTAAAATCCCCCTGAAAAAGCGGGAAATGAAACTAAGGGAAGACTTTGACACCAGTAGCATGGGAGTACGAAATGCTCCTCTTGCTCCTGTGAAAGAATCACTGACATGTTTTGATGACAGCAGATCGAATGCTGAAAAGATCAACGGTCATGTCCCTCACCTTACAACATCTGAGAGTGAAACGCAAAAAGGGTCAGAGAGTCTTCAAAAAGAAAGCATAGAAGAGAATAATTCTGAGAAACTCCCTCTTGTTTTAGATGAATCCAAAGAGAGAAAAAAGAAGAGAAAGGATGACCAGACGGAAGAGAAGATGGACACAAATGAAACCAGATTGTGTGCTGAAGAGCAGATGGAAGTGGAGAAATCTGAGGAATCCTGTGCCGCCACTGCAGAAGAGAACAAGGAAAAATCGGAAACTTCTCAATCTCATGAAAAGATCCTTGGAGAAGAAAAGCCCTCATCAGTAAGTGAACAATCAGAAAAGACACCTGGTTCTGAAGACGTAACTGACAATAAAAAGTCTCCCAGTAGTGATGATACAGATGCTACTGAAGTAAATACGTCAACACTGCCTGGAGAGTCAACAAAAGAAGAATCAATGAAAGATCTCCCAAACAAGGAGTCAACGATTGAGCTCTCAAAAGAAGACACAAAAGATCTCTCAAACAAAGAATCATCAAATGATCTAACAAGAGACAAGTCAGGGAAAATTCTCCTAAAAGATGAGCCAGCAAAAGATCAGTCAATGAAACATCTCTCAGAAGAAGAGACATCAACTGAAAAGTCAACTAAAGACTTCTCAAAAGATGCAGTGAAAGAATCATCAAAAGATCTCGCACGAAAAGAGTCAATAAAAGATCTTCCAAAAGAAGAGTCAATTAAAGATCTCTCGAAAGAAGAGACATCAAAAGAAGAGTCCATGAAAAATCTTCCAAATGAACAATCCAAGAAAGATCTCACAGAAGAAGAGTCACACAAAGTCCTCACAGAAGAAAGTCAGCAATCTCCCAAAGACTCCAATAAAGACCATGAAAAACCAGATCCAACCGCTTCCACGCTGATGGAAACTGAACCATTCCAATCATCTAAAACAGAGGAGTCTTCTTCCTGTGAAGTAATCAAACCACATTCTGGCACAGAAAAGCCGCTGATGGAAACTGAACCATTCCAATCATCTAAAACAGAGGAGCCTTCTTCCTGTGAAGTAATCAAACCACATTCTGGCACAGAAAAGCCAGTGACCACTGAAGAAACGAAACCTCATCACAGCTCTGCAGACACTACCACAGAAAAAGAGCCAACTGCCATTGCCTCAAAAACTGAAAAACAGTGTGTATCTGAAGAAGACAAGCTCTCAACCAATGGAGAAAGTGAGTCCATTGCCTCTAAACCTTCTGAAGATACAGATGGCCCTCAAGACAAAGTGCAAGAGCAGTCCGAATCCCCTAAGCCAGCATCTAGTGATCTTGAAAAATCATCTGTTTCTGATTCAACGAATAAGCCAAGCACACCAAAAACCACAGAGAAAGTAGACAGTGAGGAAAAATGTGATACAGCTGAAACTGATAAAAATGAGGATTTGGAAACGTCAAAAGACAAGGATGAAAATGGTGAAGCTGCAAACAGCTCAGAAGAGTCTGCAGTGAAAAAATCGGAAGAAGTTAAAGCTACAGAACGACCCAATGAATCCAACAGTTTGGAGAATCCTCCTTCTGATAGAGAACATGAAAAGGAACCCAATTCAAAGGAAGGGAACAAAGAGAAGCCAATGGAAGTTGATAAAATTCAGTCAGCTATTGAGGAGGGATGTGAGACTACAACAGCAAGTAAGAAGGAAACTGATGTTCCTGTGGATCAGAACACAACCTCAAGAAAACAATCCAAGCAAGATGCAACTTCTGAAGAACGTGAGGCTCCCGGGGATGTTCAAGAAAAAAGCACTGCTGCTGTGAAAAGCAGTAAAAGACAAGGACGGCCTCCAAAGAAAGCTCTGGAGAGTCAGGATGAGGATAAAACAGGCGAAGAACAAGAAGAAAAGGCACAACAGGAAGGAATTCGCATGAAGATCAAAATCCCAGCTCACAGGCGGAAGGCAGAACTTCAGAGAGAAGAGGTGAGGGGAGATTCAGAGTCTGAGGTGACTGACGGCAGGTGCTTGAGGAGATCTCCGAGAATCTGCAGACCCACCGCTAAAGCTGTGGAGATCCAGGACAGGAGGGTGGAACGGAAGCAGGCGACTCCGGTGTCTGAGAAGGAAAAGGATGAAAACGAAGACAAAGAGGATGAGGATTCTGTACCAAGGAAACCAAGGAAAGCTGAGCCAGATGGCCAAACAAAACCAAAGGTTTGAGTACCTTTTGTTTTTTTGCTTAAATATATGTCCCTGGACCACAAAACCAGTCATAAGGGTCAATTTTTTGAAATTGAGATTTATACACCATCTGAATAAATAAGCTTTCCATTGATGTTTGGTTTGTTAGGATAGGACAATATTTGGCTGAGATACAACTATTTGAAAACCTGGAATCTTGAGAGTGCAAAAAATTCTAAATATTGAGAAAATCGTATTTAAAGTTGTCCAAATTAAGTTCTTAGTAATGCATATAACAAATAATCAAATATCAAAATCAAATAATAAAAAATTAGTTTTTGATATATTTACGGTACTAGGAAATTTACAAAATATCTTCATGGAACATGATCTTTACTTAATATCCTAATGATTTTTGGCATAAAAGAAAAATCGATAATTTTGACCAATACAATGTGTTTTTGGCTATTGCTACAAATATACCTGTGTGACTTAAGATTTTTGTGGTCCAGGGTTACATATATAGCTCTTTTTTTTACATTTTTTTTTAAATACCTTTGCCTCTTTTTTTTTTAATGATCACTTAAAAGTTAATCTTTTAAGACATGATTAATAACAGTTAAATGTGTCTTTAGCAAATTCCAATAAATATTAATTCATCATAAATTCAATGTTAATTTATTCAATTAACATTGTAATGTTGTGATGACTATATTCACTTGTAGCAATAAAATGGTTGATTGTAGTTTTTAGTGTTTTTATTTTCCATTTACTTAGGTAATATACAGGTGCATCTCAATAAATTAGAATGTCGTTGAAAAGTTGAGATGCACCTGTAGTGTAGAATTAATATCTGCAATTTATTGGCCATGACAAAATTAACAAAAAAGCAGTAACATTGTGCAATATTATTACAATTTAAAATAGATGTTTTCTATTTTAATATGTAATGTTTTTTTTTCTGTGAGGCAAAGCTGAATTTTTAGCAGCATGAATCCAGTCTTCAGTGTCACATCCTTCAAAATCATTCACATATGCTGGTTTGGTGCTTAAGAAACATTTCTTATTATTATTATTAATGTTAAAAACAGTTGTGCTGCTTAATATTTTGGTGGAAAACAAGATGTTATTTTCAGGTTTCTTTTTTTTTTTTTTTTTGGTAGCATTAT